AGGGGGGGAATGGACGGGGGGGAGCTCCGGACGGAGAGGGGTGGCGGTGGTGGGGGAATGGAGGGAGACCTCCACGGGGCATCAGGCCACCGCGTTGTTAGCCCCGGAGTTGTTGTTTCTTTTGCGTTTTTATGCGCGGTTTTATAAGCATCCAAAGCGCTTTTATATATCCGATCCGGTTTCCCTTTGCCCCGTAAAGCCGGTTTACGATAGGAAAGCCATTGAGGTGGGCTTTAAAAAAGGTATCCTTTGGAGGGGGGAATTAATTGTGACGGAGTGGTTGATTGGGAGCCTGGGTCGCTTCGGGGTGTGGTCCTCTTAAAGAATGAAGAAAGAAACCCCCTTTCCCTTCTGAAACGAAGCTCCAGTCTGCGAGGGTTGGGGAGAAACCAGGACTGTTCCTGGTGCAAAATGGGGTTTGGAAGAAACCTCGTTCCAACATTTTTTTTAAAAAACCCCTCTTTTCCTGTTATTGCTGTAAACAGCAAATCTATTTAAAGGGAAATATGGCGGTTTTCTTTTACTCCAACTCCTTTTGGTCAAAGTTATCCAAAGTGATGCCGGAGCTCCCTGGGTGTTACCTCTTGGGAGGAGGGGGGGGGGGAAGAGCCAGCTCTCTAGCTGGTGAAGTTGCCCGAAGGAAGATGTTGGATTTAGAGCCTCTTTTGGAAGAACTTTTTTCAAACCTGGAACAGGTCGGGTCAGATTCTCTTTTCTTCTTCTTTCCCCCTTCTTTCTCCCCCCCCCCCAACTCTCCAGCCATCCCCCAGCGATCCCGGAAAAAGCGATGCCCTTACACCAAGTATCAAATCCGGGAACTCGAGCGGGAGTTTTTCTTTAACGTGTACATTAACAAAGAGAAAAGACTTCAGTTGTCCAGGATGTTGAGCCTGACGGATCGACAAGTGAAAATCTGGTTCCAAAATCGAAGGATGAAAGAAAAGAAACTGAACAGAGACCGTCTGCAGTATTTCACTGGGAACCCCTTGTTTTGAGAGGACAAACTTTGGGGGTGGGGGTGGGATGGGGAAAGGCAGAAAACATCTCCTCTCTCGGCTCGATCGGCCAGATGAATTTGGAAAAATCAGGAGGTTTCCAGGCCAGCCGCCCTGCGGACACAACCGGTGCCATTTTTTCCATGTTCAGCAACGTTGGTTCTTCCAAGCACTCCTCGTCTGCGGGAGAGGTCCAGGACTTGGCGGAGCTGATTTCTCCTGAGGGGAAAGAGGGTAAATCCAAAGTCAATTTTCTTCATTTTCGTTTTAAATCACTCTTGATGTTCTTCCCCTTCTCCCTTTCGGCGGGTTTAAGTCCAGCGCAACTCAAATGTATATGGTAGTTTAAAAAAAATTGGGTTAAACCTGTTGGTGCCATTTTTTTTTTAAGGAATACCCGTTCTGACAGGTTTGTTGAAAAAGGTGGTAATGTATCTGCGGTATATATATCTAGATATATCTATGACCCTGTATAGATATATCTCTGTTGCTGTTGCCATATGAAAAGCATGGGACGCTGTCTTGTCGATGTGAATAAACGGTTGCTAGAAAAGTTGGACTTGTATTTGCCGTTTGCATTCTTAGCAGAGCCACCTTTGGAAGAATCATATAACTTTGTCCCTGAGGGTGTCAATGGGAAGTGACCCACAGCAGAGTTCTGCTCCGACCCCAAGGCTTTCCTAGAAGCCGGCAGTTGGGGCCTCCACCCCGAATCCTCGCTAGCTCGAATGACCCTCCGCTGCCGAGCCCCCCAGGGTAGGAGAAGCCCCAACATGGCTGCCTGCTTGCCTTCCCTTGTGAGACCTTTTCGCATCCCACCTTGGGAAGGGAAGGATCGGATCCGGTCGGATTGAAGCACGTGCGCAAAAGCTCTCCCAGGGCAACCCGGGAGTATTCGAAAATGCCTTCATTTGATCTAGATCCATCCCTATTAAAGGGTTCATTAAAAAAAAACCCCTACCCATTCTTTCCCGATGTTTCCACCTACAGGAAAGGATTAAAAACGTTGCCCATTTTCAGCAAGTCTTTGCATTACGGAAGGCGACCTATTCAGACGGGGGGAGATAGCTAAATTAGGGCATGTTTTAAATGCCATTTCTGGCCAGGCCAGGCCTACAACCCAGCGGAGCAAAAATGGAAGTCTCCACGTGAAGGGAGCGCCAAACTCAGTTGCCAACTTAAATAAAAAGAAATCGGTGCGAAGAATTCGATTGGGGGCCCTTCGCTCCGCTTTCTGTTGCCTGACCTGGCTGGCTGTTTACAAAACCTTGAACTGTCTAGACAACACCATAAAAGCCCAGGGTCTAAACAGCTTAATTGGCTTATATTATACACCTTATGGTAGGCCAAAAGAGAGAGGGAGGGAGGGAATGATTTCCGCCACGAGCAATAAAGAAGTGGGGAAGGAGATCTGGGTTTTTTAAACAAAACGGGAGAGAGTCTCGTTCCGTTTGCGCCCGTTTAAACCCCACACCGGAGTGCTAAAGAGAGAATATGCCGAATAAACCAACTCTAGACAAGCAGGGCGCAAAATTAAAAATTTGGAAAAATCTGAAGCCAGAAAAGCATAAGCCTCTGCCTTTGAACTTCCAAAATGTCAAGGTCGTCACCTTTAACCTTTCTGAATAATTAGGAGCGCGAAAGGTTCCTTCTCCTCCCCCCCCCCCCGGTTTCTCACTCCCCGCTTTCCCCTCCCCTCCCTCCGTGTGTGGGTCTGTGTGCGTCTCTCTCTTTCTCTCTCTCACACACATGCATACACCGCCCGCCCGCACACTCACCACACACGCCCGCACACACACAAACACGCTTCTGACTGCAGAGCGATCCACATCAGCGCACCCATCACCCTTTCCGGCCGAGGGGTCCTTGCCGTTATAGAGCCATTCCTAGAACGATCTCTGCCGGTCATTTCCCTCGGCAGGAATCGCTAATTTATTGCTAAAAAGACCCCCAAAACACCCCTTCTTCATTCGCCCCCCTTTATAAACTAATTTCTTTTCTTTTTAGGACTCATCCTTTTGTTCATGAAAAAGCACAACCCCCCATCCCCCCCCCCCGAAAAACTATCCGTTTCCTATTAATTCTCTCGGGTGATCTGAATAGGGACATCAGATGAGTAGTAACAATGCATATATTTGTATTTTAAAAGGATGCAACCCTATTCTAATAATAGAAATTCTACCACGGAATGTAGTTCGGACCAAAAAATGTGATTTGCTTTCCATAGGATGGACAGAGAATATAGATTTCTTTTTTCTTTTCTTTTTGTAGACACTGTAAAATTTCCTCTGCTTGAGAAATAAGATCTTGAGGCTATCGAAGACTTTCAGCTATCACGCGAAAAAGCAGATATCTGTTCTATTTGTCAAATATCTGCGGTACTTGTAATTGATCCAATCCGCCAGAACAACATTTCTCCTCTAAACATGAAAGTAATCAGACATATTCCTACTTTTTAGGATAAAATAGAATACCACAAAGGCATATTTACTCATTGTAATTGTTATTTATTTCTATTTTTTCTTCTTGTTCCTATTATTTTTAAAAGAATAAAATCTTTTTTTCAAGATAAAAGGAGAAGAATAGAACAGACAGATTGAAAAACCTCCATGTGCTGTGCAGCTAAATTCCACAAGAGGGCGCGCTAATATTCCAGAATGCATAATTGTCTTGCTGCTCCATGTGTATTTCCTCCCTAATAATACTGCTACCAATAAAATACCTAATATATAAGCAACTATAAGATTTCAGGGCTTGGGAAATGAGAAAATAAAGCATAAACAAGATTTATTAAACAAGTAACTCACAGTCGTGACATGATCTAGACGTATTTTATTTTTAATCTTTTACCATACGGAACATAAGATTAAAAAAAAAACCCAGAAAAACGTATGATTTTTAAAGAGGAGTTAGTTTATCTCTTAAATTTCCTCAGTCGAATGGAATTCTAATTGTTTCTTTTGAAAGTGTTAGAGTAACAGCCAACGAATACAAATCTCCCTAGCTCCTATTTAGAATATTCTATCAGGTCTTCAGTTTCAGGAGAACGCAAGCAGATAACACAATTTTACAAAATGTAGAGAGGGGTTGTTTTTTTTGCTGTTGTTACATAATCGGTAGCTGATTTGGGGTGTTATGGTAAGGAGCAGCAATTTCTCTGAGGACAGCTTTGTTAACCAGAGATAAGAACACTGTTTTCTTTTCTTTTCTTTTTTTAAAAATGAGAATTTTCTCGTTACCTTGAGCCTCAACGGAGAAACTAGATTCCCGGTTAAAAGAACACCCGAATTATTATTATTATCATTTCTAAGAACAGAAGGTCTTTTGAGGAATTTCATCTCTGACATTCTCAATTGAATTGGCCACCTTCGGTCCTTCCCACGGACTCGTTTTGAAGAATAAGTTTTTAAAGAAGATCAGAGGTAGAGTTTCACCGCTCCGCCCGTCGTAGAAATAACCACTGATAATTAGGCAAACGTGTGGTCCAATCTACCAGACACATTCAAAGTCATTCCTAGGAAATGAGTGTCCCAGACTTTGTTTTCCAGAGGTTGGTGTGGGTTCTTTTTAGAAGTTCATTGTTACTCCAGTTACCTAGAATAGACTACCCGTCTGCAATAAATAGGAGGGGGAACTCCAGACAAGATCCCAGATCCTGAAGGATAAGCAACGCAATATTTTGCTAGTTCAAATGCAGCATAAACGGTACGGTGTGCTTTGAATCTATTTTGAGACCAAATGATGCATCGGGGAGGAAGTTATCTTGGTGTTTCTTTTAAATGCACGGACTTCCTGAGGTATCGCATCGCACCATGATAAAATTATGCCGATTTGTGCGTGCGTCTGTGTGATTCCCCCCCCTTTTCTTTTTTAAACTTCTCCGCCTCTTTATGCCATTTATACAAAGGCGTTGTTCTGGCCATGTGAGGTTGTGGTTGAATATTGTACATTTGGAACGCTCGAAGGGGCGTTGTTGGACCGCTCCGCTCTCCGTGTAGGCTTGTGGCGTCAGGATTTGAACGGGATGCTTCCGGGTGTAAAAGAATCTCAGATCAACACCAGGCGGAAAAAGGTGTTTTCTGAGAAACATTTCGTTTATCCCGCGCACGTATGGTTACAGAACCGATTAAAAAAATAATAAAGGGGGGGGAGGTTGGAATTGTCCTCTGCGTGTTCAGAACCGACATCTTACAGATACAAAGAGCTTCGTATGTAAGCCTGTACGTAGGTATGGATGGATATGCGTACGTAAGACAGGCATATACATACTCTGTGTATACATCAATGCATATGTACTCCGCTCATTCAAAATGTTGGCTTTCTCTCTCTCTCTTTTTGAGGGTGCGCGCTGGACATTCGCTCACTTGGTGTTTTGGGAGAGAGATCAGAGATAATAGTTATTTCAGTCTCTTTCTCGAAACAATTCTCAAATTTCTTTTGGCTAGTAAGCGTAAAAAGATGGGCGATGTAACAGCCAAAGATATATATATGTGTGTGTGTGAATGTGTGTGTGTGTGTGTGTGTGTATAAACACACATATATATATATATATGTACAAAAAATAGAAGGGATATCTCCACTGGGGCCTTTTGGCCACTGTCACCCACCGGCAGAAGAGGCTGAAATCGCTGTAGTCTTTTTGCTGTCTTGATATGAGCCTGAGACGGGGCCGCTGGATGGATATTTTCAGATCTATGCTGGCAGGAGCCGTTCAATACCGGTCAGACCCGACTGATCCAGCCTTTTCTAATGACCGGAGGGTGTAAAAGACCCCCACCCACCCTGAGACTTTCGACTGGGCCGGGCCCTCGGGGGGGTGGGGGTGGGACAGCCTCAACGGGTCAGAAACGGAACTGGGCACTGCCAAACACAAAGAACTTGGGAGAAACAATAGGCAAAGGAAGCGAATCCTCTGCGGAGAATTTTGTTTATGACACACTTTTATGGATACACGCCCCATATAAAAATATCTGCATTGGGGGGAGAGAAGGGGGAGGGAAACTGTTGAATTATTCTATCCATGTTCTCAAGCAAAATGGATGATCACAGAACGGCGTTCCGCATGCTGTTGCGCATGCCGAGGTTGTGCTAATTTTGCTTTGTAAAGAGATTTTTTTATAAATCCAAATTATTATGGGCTTTGTCACTATTCCATATGAGGTCTGAGAGGCGCAGGACAGAAACGGATTCATTCGCCGGCGTGCTAGGTGGAGGGAAGTCACCAGATAGTATAGCCGTGACATTGGTTTCCTGGGCTGAAAGGAGCACCTTCCAGTTCCCAAGCTCCGCGGTGGGATGTCATGAAACAGGGTGGACCTATTAGTAAATATCGCCAAGAGCAAAAGTTTGAATGGAGGGAGGGAGGGAGGCGTCCAGGATTATCCTTCTTTTTTCAAACCCAGCCGCTCTTCTGAGCAATATTGGCTGGGCCAATTTTGATATTTTCCCCCCACACACCCCTCCCCCGGTCTGAATCGACAACTGCCCATTATTCCCCTAGCCTTTAAATATATATTCCTCCCTCTCCCACAACGCCTTAAAATCTGGACAAAAAGAAAAATTCGGTATAGGAATAGTGGGGTGGGGTGGCAGAAAAAAAATTGTGTGTGTGTGTGTGTATATATATATACACACACACCAATGGAAGTAAAATGTGGAAGAAAGAAGGATTAAAATAAAACTTTAAAGGAAGGACTTGGCCTCCCATGTTTCATTTTCAATTATTTATTAAGGCGGAAAAGGGAGGTGTCAACATATATTTTACTGCAAATAGTAATCGAGTTATAAATGGATCTTTTTTGGGGGGCTCACCCCCCGTTAGAGAGAGAAAAAATATGGGACAGTAAAGAGGGGGAAAACCCTTTACGTTAATGTAGATTGTATATCTCGTTTATGGCACAATATTGATTTATTTATTAATGTTAATTACTACAATCCCATCTTTAAAATGATTGAAAACTGGAGTGGTGTTAAACAGGCAAGGTCTAAGTAACTCATTTCCCTCCAAGAGGTGTTTATTCAACCTTTAGACACGTCCAACCAATTTTGAAATTTCGGCTTTTCTCTTCAACCCACCCCCGCCCCAATCCCTTTTCCTTTGCAAATGCCCGGCTGAATTCCAAGTCAGTGCTCAAAAGGAGTTGATTGGTAACGATTTGGAGTTGGAGAGTATTTGTGGGACCCACATCCCATTTAGCCAAGGACTGGCCAGCATGAATTGCGCTATTGATATCTTGGCGCTCCAATCTACACCAGCAAACCCGGGCTTGAGCCTCAGATTCAGTTCATTAAACAATGCCCACTCGAGGGATGTCAAGAGGAGAGGGGTCTGGGCCATTGTTTTAACTTCACAACTGGGCGATGTTACAGCCAAAAGAAAACATATATTTTTTTTCCTTTTAAAAAAACAAACAAAACAGCAGGGATGTCTCCACTGGGCTATATCTGGGACACTTCTTGAAAGTGTAAACAAGGCTTATGGAAGGCCATTTGATCGGAATAAAATCCCTGATTAGATCTCGCCATTAACCCAGGGAGGACTAGGAACGAATACGATGGGGTTCCTTTAAACTCAGTGGGCTGTCTGGCGTCTTGTTTGGAGGGAGGGAGGGGTGGCTGAGGGGTGGGGAGGAAATTGCAGGGAGGCACAATGGGGAGGGGGGGAGCCAGCCCCCAAAGAAGAAGAGGCATCCTGACCTCTGCTTCTGTTTTGTTCCACAGCTCAGACAAAATCTTAGCAATGGCTCTGATAATGATCTTAAATAGAGGGGGGGGGGAGAGGCAAAATTCCTCTCTCTCTCCACCCTCACACCACCGCCTTCCAGGGGTGTACCTTAATCCCAAATCTGCGTCCAGGATAAGGACACCGATCTAGCCTTCCATTCGAAGGGATTGTGGGGGGGGGGGCGAAGAAGCTAGAGTGTGGGGCTGGTGGGGGTGGAAGCAAGGGACTATGGGGAAGGTAAGCTCAGACCCCTTGGGCAAGGCAGAAGCTGGCGAGAGAGGCCGCCAAAGGCGCGGGCTCCTTAACGTGGCCATGATGTTGTATTTGAACAGCTGCGATAAGGTTTGGAAGAGGGGGGGGCTGTCTCATGGCCACCGCGAGAGTTTTCAGCAGGGCGATTGTGCTCAGGAAATAAAATAAAATAAAAAGGGGGCTACGGAGAAAGTGAACAAAGACATGGCCGGGTTTGGGGGTGGATGGGTGGTGTTGGAGGGGGGGGGTGACCCCGTAGAAATCTAGAGTGAGGAAATGATCCTCTGGCACGCAGATCTCCCGGCCAGAGGGGGCAGATGCCAGACTCCCTTTCGAGGATTTGCTGTTTGTTTCTTGGCTTTGTGTGTGTGTGTCTGTCTGTCTGTCTGTGTGCGCGTGTGTGTCTGTTCCTGACTTTGTCTTGAAGGCGGCCAGGAAGGTTTTGGCGAATGTGGGAGATCTCCAGGCCCCAAATAAATAAAGAGGAAGCGAGGAGCTCCATCTTTGAGAGGCACCAGGGCAGGCGTGACGCGCGCGCCTCCATTCCCTTCCTCGAAAACGGGGAGAACCTTTGGGGTTTTAAAAAAATAAATAAATTCCACAAGGCGTGGGGAGAGACCAGAACTATTAATTAAAACAAATAAATAACCAGCCAGCTGTTTCACGAGCGTTGCTGCGTTTGAATGCAAGTCAGGACGATAGCCGAAGAGAGAGGCAACCGAGAACATCCGAAATCAGGAAGCGTATCTGAAATGTTTCCACCATTGGTGCTGAGACCGTCGATTTCAGCACATTGGAGAGGGTTGGATTGGGGTCTTTTCCTTCTTTTGAATAGTCAACGCCAGATCTTGATCCGTTTCTAGCGAAGCCAAGGCCGCATCTTGCACCAGCTTTGGAAGTTGAAAGGCGTCACATCAGACCAATGTCGCCTTCTGATCTTTCCATGTTCACGGGCAAAGGGATTTTTGTTCATGGATGTATGAGAAAGAATGCAGAGGGCTTTCTCTCTCTCCCTTTCTCTTTCTCTCTTTCATTCGAATCTGGTCTGTCTGTGAAACTGAACTTACGGCAAAAGTCTAGCTTGTAATATTTGACGATTTGTATTAAAACAAAAATTGACCTTTCTTGGTGAGGGGGGGGCGCCCAGCCCCGCCCGAAATCAATAGTATAATTTTCAATAATTCATAACGCGAACGCCATTATGCTAAAGCTTAACTATTAATCTTATCCTTTACAAAGTCTCGATTGATTTGTTCATAAAATATCTTCCCCCGCGTGTGTGGCAATAGAGGGTATAACTCTTGAAAAAGCTTCAGAAGCGAGAAAATTACCAAGTCGCCGAAGAATGCAGATGAGGGTTTTATTGATCGCCCTGATTCTTCTTAATCTGTATTAATAAATCCCACAACCTTTGATACCTTGCACTTGTCAGGAAGCGAGGCTTTTACAAAATCCATAAAAGGAAAACATTATTCCCACCCACTCCCAACTCTCCCTTTGTATTGTCCCCCCAAATAGGATACTTCGGGGGAATCACCTACACTTCAAACCTAGTCCACCGCCCACAACAACTTTTTTTTGGGGTGGTGGTTGCCGGCACTGTCTCTGGAATCTGATTCTTGAGACAAGGGTTGGATTAAGAAGAGCAAGTGGTTGGGGGAGGGAAGAGAGAAAGGTGTATTTTTTCCGGGCTGAGCTTTAGGGATAGTTCCAATCGCTGACAGTTTATAGAACCTAACAGGATCCTGGACAATCCTGTTGGGGGGGGGGAGAGAGACAGAAAGAAAGAGAGAGAGAGAGAGGCAGGAAGATTGAGGGAAATGCCCCCTATTTTACGCAGTCCGGTTGCCTGCTTGCTGAACGGCTTCCCTGCAGCAGCCCTGGGTCCCTCTCCCCTTCCCCTCCCTTTCGCCCCGCCAGGACTTTGTTGAAGTACCTGCCTCATCCTTCTCTTGGCGCAAAAGAGCAGTGGCTGTCAGGATCAGGCTGAATCCGGACAACTAGATGAAATTAAAATCAAAAAGGAGAAGGAGAGGGAGGATAGGGGGGGGGAGATCGACGTAGTGTGTTTTGTTTTAAGTCGGGCGAGTTGAGCAAGGGTTGGCTTTGGCAAAGAGAGAGAGAGAGAGAGAAGAAAAGGGAAAGGGGGGGAGGAAAGGAAAGGAAAAAGAAAAAGAGATAAGGCTTGTTTCTGCTGCTGCTGCTGCTGCTGTTGCGTGCTGGCGCTGGCGCTGCCCAGGTCGGGGCGGGCGGGCGCACTTTCGCCGGGACGTTCTAGGTGTCGCTGTTGTCCACCTTTGCGCCGCAGCCCGGAGTGTCCCGGGGAGCACGTGACCGGCGGGGAGGTAGCAGCTCAAGGCCATTTTCAAATCTCATTGGCTCAGCCGTCATGTGGTCGTGCGGAGGCATCCACAATTACACAGGGAATGTTTTCGTAGAGATGTCAGCCTACAAAGGAGACCATCTCTCTTCCTCAAATTCCTCCCCAAAATGTCCTTTCCCAACAGCTCTCCTGCCGCCAATACTTTTTTAGTCGACTCGCTGATCAGTGCCTGCAGGAGTGACAGTTTCTATTCCAACAGCGCCAGCATGTACATGCCTCCCAGCACAGACCTTGGGACTTACGGGATGCAAACCTGTGGACTGCTACCGTCTCTGGCCAAAAGGGAGGTGAACCATCAAAACATGGGTATGAATGTACATCCGTATATACCTCAAGTAGACAATTGGACAGACCCGAACAGGTCCTGCCGGCTAGAGCAACCTGTTACGCAGCAGGTCCCCACCTGCTCCTTCGCCACCAACATTAAGGAGGAGACGAACTGCTGCATGTACTCCGATAAGCGCTCCAAGCTGGTCTCCTCCTCCGAGGTCCCTTCCTACCAGAGGCTGGTCTCGGACTCCTGCCCCATCGAGAACCCCGAGGTCCCCGTCCCCGGCTACTTCAGGCTCAGCCAGACCTACGCCGCCGGGAAAGCCCAAGAGTACAATAACAGCCCCGAAACGAGCTCCACTGTCATGTTACAGTTAAACCCGCGCGGCGCCTCCAAGCCGCAGCTCGCCTCCCAACTTCCCCTGGAGAAGAAGATGAATGAGAACCCGGCCGGCGGCGGAGGAGGAGGAGGCGGAGGCGGCGGCGGAGGAGGAGGCGGCGGCGGCAACAGCCACCACCCGGACAACTCCTCCAAAGTGGCCCAAGTCGAGAGCCCCGAGCCCAAGTCCGCGCTCCAGGACGACAGGAGCTGCCTGGCCGAAGCCTCGGTCTCCAGCCCGGAAGCCCAGGAGAAGGAAAGCAAAGGTCGGTATGCCTCACGCAGCCAGGCACGAACTTGGGGGGGTGGGAGACCCTGGGGGGGGGAAGGAGGAGGACTGGGGCGCGCCGGTCTCCTCAGACCGCCTCAGGTCGTGCTTCAGCGCAGCCATGGTTGTTCAGGGAGGAAAGAGGGGGGTCTTCTCCTCTCTCCACCCCCACCCCTCTTTCCTCTGCCTGGCTGCTGCGGATGCTGGATTCCCCTTGGCTTCTCAGCAAAGGGGGCGGAGGGGTGGGATCTCTTGCCCCAGCAGTGAGGCCAAGCCCTCGCCCCCCGACTCTTCGAGGGGGACCCCCGTGCTCGGATCCTGCCCTAGAGGTTTCTCTTGGCTTTGGAACAGACCGCCTCCCTCAGTGCCTGAACAGCACCTTCCCCAAGGCTGTGGTGGTCGCACGGCAGCCGAGTCCCTCCAGGGTCACGCTGGGACCAGGTCTTTCCGCTGGATCTTCTCATCATCTGATTGCTAAACATAAATAGTCCAGATCAAGGTGCTTTAAAAAAAAAGTGGGGGGTGGTCGGATGGGATGCCGCAGAGCTGTACAAACTTTGAAGGAGATGGACCTTCAGAAATGGCCCTTTCTTTGCCAGCCCCTGCCGCCCAAGACGGTCAATAATATATCTGAGATAGCCTAGCTTTTGTCTCCAAGTGTCCACTATGATTGGGAGGTTGATTTTGTTTTGGTTTTTTAAATTTTGGTTTTAAACGAAGGGGCAGCATGTTGATTTCATTGTCCTTAAAGGAAGGGAGGGGGTGTCCAAGGAGTCCTTTGTAGTGGGGTAATGTAACATGGCAGAATAGCGAAAACGGGGTGGGTTGGGGGTGAATGGCCTGAGGACATTTCACCTTTGCAAAGCCTGCTATGAGCCTTAGATTGTTCTGTACACACGAAGCGGATGCGAAACAATTGCAGCCTTGCAGACAAACACTAAAATAAGCCTTAGGACAAAAATTTGCCCGTAATGTGAGGAGAATACAATATTCTCACGGGAAAACGGGGTGGGGAAATAGAATATGGTTCCTATTTGGTGGTGTTTTCGTTTTTCTTTTTTTATTTTCTTTTTTAAATATCCTGGCGTTACCTGGGGGCAAAAGGCCACCTGATTTTCTGGCTGTGTGTTTGATTGCGAGGGTGAGAGTCTCTGTCAAAATGCTGGTTTTCTCCACAGAGCCATTTTCTAAGTAAGGGGGCATCTATGGCGTGGGTCGGACTCGCTATAACGTGAGCACTGGCATATGGCAAGGAGAATATTGTTCCATCCATTGAGAACTAGCCTAGATGTGTATGTTGTCGTCTGTAGAATGTGTCAGATGACGCACACAAATGCTGTAGAAACAATCCCGAGGATGGCACGGAATGGTGCTGGCATTGTTTAATTCGAATCTGGGAGGAATATTCGTTTTTTGGGGGGCAAACCCCGCATTACTCCAGTTGTGCACACCTCCTTTAAGCAATGTTTAATACCCACAAGACACCATATCTGCCAGACACAATGGACATGGGTTCATGGCCAAGGGTACACTATAACAGACTGAGGTTATTTTTATTTCCCTTTCTTTCTATTTTGTTTTTTTCTTCCTTCCTTCCTTTCTTCTCCTTCGATTTTGCTAGAGGAAATCAAGTCTGATACTCCAACCAGCAATTGGTTAACAGCAAAGAGTGGGAGAAAGAAGAGATGCCCCTACACTAAGCATCAAACACTGGAATTAGAGAAAGAGTTCTTGTTCAATATGTATCTCACTCGAGAGCGCCGCCTAGAGATCAGTAAGAGCGTTAACCTCACTGATAGGCAGGTCAAGATATGGTTTCAGAACCGCAGAATGAAACTCAAGAAGATGAGCAGGGAGAACCGAATCCGAGAACTGACCGCTAATCTGACCTTCTCTTAAACCGTTCACCTGGGGGCTGACCACGAGTCGAGACACAAGCCCAGTTACCACCAGTTGTTATCCATGTAGGGAAGACTTGGGGGGGAGAGAAAACAAACAAACAAAAAACTACATCCCTTGGTACAATTCCATTTTTTTTTAACTTTCTGATAGAATGTGATTTTTTGTCATTCTTTCTAGTGCTTACAAGTGTCTATGTATGTTCCTACGACGAGTATATATGTATATATATAATTAAAAAAGGAAGTCTAGCACGTGTAATTTATTATTATTATTATTTTCTCATAGTAATGCAGGGTAAACGCTGATTGAACACGGTCATTTTGGTCTTAACTTATTGGACTTGTCGAACATCCAGAAAATGTGACTTTTTCATGTTGTTTTTTTTAAAAAAAATAAAACTAACCACGTGGTATTTATGTGGGGGGGGCGCTAGGACACGGGCCATGACATTTTGACGATATAAAATATTTTGGAATTATTATTTTTTTTAAGAAAAAAGGGGGGATCCTCGTGGGGGAGGGACAGGAATAAAGAAAGAAAGAAAGAAAGCACATTTTATGATGTTAACTCTCTTCTCCTTCCGTGTGCGTCCCATGTGTCCTTCGAGCGATGGAATCTTCCATTCTTCCTCGAGTGTATACGTTCTATTCCCCCCCCCCTTTCCCCTTGTGGTGCATACGTGGAAATCTTAGTCGTATAACAAGCAATATGTCTTCTTCGTTGTGCATGTCCTATTCGCATGTATAATGCAATAAACTCTGTAAAGTCATGAGGTTCCTTTGGTCTTTCGAGAAAACTAATCCACCCCACGACCAAGGTCGTACAGCTTGAAGGCCTCCGGTCCCTTTTTTTCTGTCCGAGGGTCTTTCGTGCCGGTCAGCGAAGTCCTGCATTTTGGAAGGCAAAAGAGGCCGATATGGTGCGCACCGACTATCTTGAATCCTTGTGAACTGTAAGGTCGGGAGAAAAGAGCCGAGAGTTGCGCATTAAAGGGCCTGAGAAGTTCCAAAAATGCTTGTAAAAGCCATATTACGACCTGACCCGGACGCCCTCGTCCTAGCCACTCGTAAAGGGTAAGCGAGTCGAGTCAAATAAAAAGACATAAAGCCGGCTTCAGGCCCCAAGCAGGTAATTCTGAGACTGCTTATCCAAATGATATGTAGACTCAAAGCAACCAACCAACCAAGAAAACAAACAAACCCATATCCATCATTGAGAAAAACCCACCCTGCGGACAGGAATTTTGGTCGCATTTGCGCTTTTGGCTTCTTTGAACACGTTCTCATAGTTTTGGAAAGGAAGGGAAACAGCCCGGGAGTGGCTTCTGAAAGCCTTGTGAAAAATCAAAGTAGATCTGACCCAGGCCTTCCCCGCTTTGTAACCCAGAAGAGACCCCGAGTCGCCCTGGAGGATCGTTAAGCTACGTCGAGGTCTCCTTCACCTTTTTCGGGTTTCTCCAGCCGCCTCTTTCGCCCCTGCCGTTCTGCTGTTGATTTCTGTTTTGTTTGTTCGAGGTTAGCACACATCAAGGACATGACGTTCACCAGTCCCTAACCCTTGTATTCCGGGGAGAGATTGGGGGGAGTGGGGGGGAGAAAAAGACCGGATGGCCAACCGCTACTTTCGGAGGCGAGAGGTGGGTGGGGTAGAGGGGGGGGGAAAGCGAGAGGGGGTGAAAATCCGGAGCAGAAACGGCGTTTAAAAGGAATTTGCAAATGAACGTGACTTCCCAAACTGAAGTCCAAATGCTGGGAAATCCCTTCAACCTTCAAACCAGGGGCTGGGAAGCGTAGAACGCCTCCCCGCCTCCTGCGCCGGGGAAGCCGGCCCCTACCCAAGAGCAAACGCCGCCGCTCGGCTTGGAGACCAGGAAATGGCCCAGGAAACTCGCTGGGAAATATTGGCTTTTCTTAATGACACCCAGGCAGTCCATAAAGGAACCGGTGACATCACATTCGAGGATACCCCCACCCCCCAATATTCTTGGAGAGATTGTGAGTTGTAAACGCGTGCTTTCCAGGAGGCCCTTCCGTAGACAGCCGAGTTGTGTGTACCTCTAATTCCTGTCTATGAGTCTTTGTGTGCGTGCACCTACACACCAGTCTTAGAAGCCTGTACAATATGTTTGATGTGCCTATGTAATCCTGTCTGTCTTTGCGCATGGGTTGAGCTGTGCGGGTGTGTGTGTGTGGGGGGGGGAAATGGATCCACGCCTTGTTTTTTTCGTACAGATTGCGAAGTGGACGTTGTCGCTTCTACATAAAACGGACTTCTTCGCCCATGTGTCCAATGTTCATCACTGAGTCGATTTTGGTTGTATTTTTTTTTAATGATGTTTCTCTGGGGAGGGGGGGGGAGGTGGCCCTAGGGCTGCGGTTCTGAACGATGCCTTCTGGAAGGGGGTGCTTCAGAAATCCAAGGGAAAAGCACACACACACGCACGCACACACGCACACACCCCAGCTCCGGATCTCTGTAATGAAGACGAGGGAGTGTGTGCAAATGTACTCAGGTATGTGAAGGCGGCTAGATCTTGCATCGGTACATGGATAAGGACACAGACATGAAAGATGCAAAGGGGTGGGCGTGAGGCTCCTCTGTGTAAAGCTCGCCGTGTGTTTCTAAACCGAGCCAGGGAGAGAAGCTTTCCAGGAAATTTCGGAGAGGAGCGTCCGGCAGTCACGAAATCGTTAGGGATTGCAGGTCTTTCTTTTTTAAGAGAGAAAATCAGGTCTGCTCTCTTTGCTGGGGGGGTGAGGTGTCTTTTGTTTTCTTCCCAGCCGAGCTGCCGGTGCGATTTCATTCCCTCCCCATACAAACACACCCACTCCCCAAGCCCGGCTCCTCGAGAGTCAATAAGAGACGCTGGGGGAGGACGAGGAGCCCACGCCGATGTCCAACCTGGGCGAATTGCCTGGCAGTCTCCTCCGGATCCTCCGCGCCTCTCCCCGAACAAATATCCCCCTCCTGGCACGTCCAGAATAAAGGTGGTTCCAACAGACCGAGTGTCGAATCCTTGAATGGTTATGGGGGGGGGGGGTGCGTCTGTGCGTGACGGAGGGCGCGGGCGAGATTTGTACCCAGGAACTAAAGGGGGGGCTGGAGAGAAAAAAGATTCCCACTAGCTACTTGTCTGTCCAGGCTCCCTTGCGCAAACCCCGGAGACCCAATTTAAGTAGTGCAATCTGGACTTCCTTCCTTCCTTCCTTCCTTCCTTCCTTAAGGGCCTGGAAGGGAGACTTCCTGCCCCGTCTGAACCCAAACTTTCCACCCCCGGGTCCGGGCTTCATGTCAATCCTACAGGCGAGGGGGAGGGGGAGGGGGAGAGAGACCGACTTCTTTCTTCTCCTTTTTTTTATACCGCGTGTGCCATCCGTCCGTTTTATTAGGGACACACATTAATCTATAATCAAATGCACCTCATAAAAATTTTATTGAAAGGCATAAAATCATTGCGGAGAGGTCTTCCACCTGTTTTAAAACAACACAACCGGCAGCTCTCGCTCGCTCTCTCCGCCTGGCTCTTTCGCAATCACTCCATCCTGATCTATTCCAGTGTTTCCTTTTTTAAAGAAAAAAAGGGAAGCGGGAAAGGGAAGGAGCTCCGGAGAGATGGCCCTTCACCCAACCACCCACCCCCAATTGTGGTGCTTCTCGTTTTCTTTTTACTGTAGCATTTCCCCGTTTTACGAGGAGTCGTGATAGACTTCGAGGAGGAGGAGGAGGAGGAGGGTGGGTTTGCTTTGCTTTGGGCTTCTTTGGCGGGGGG